TGTGGCATAGTCACGTACAGAACTATTTTGTCTAAGTCTCTTTAATTGATCTCTTAGATATATTTGATAATTTTCAGATTGGAATAAATTTTTTACACTAATTTTAAATGCATCCCAATCATTACAAATTTGTGTGATATCAGGTTCGGCTATTAGTTTATTCATCTACCAAGATACAGCAACATCTTTCATTCCTGTAGCGGCATATCGAATTCTAGTTATATCCTCTACAATAGCTCGAGTAGTGGAAATATTTTCAAGAGAGATGAATCATGAATTAACATTTTCATATAGACGGCCATAGAAAAGTGGAATAGTTACAGGTAATGTAGGAGCAGGAGCAGGTGTATTATTATTCAGTTGAGCAGTAAGCCCAGTTAAAGCTTGTACTAGTGTATTAAATTGAGCTTGATCTATATTTTCAAGATCTTTGAAGGTAGGATCGGTGTTAAACAAATTGAGACCAGGTAAGTTATTATTTTCTTGATTCTCAAAATTAAATAAATTATTAAAATTTAAAATATTATTATTGTTATTCTCAAGGTTATTTTTGGCAAGTTGGATCTCTGGAAAGGCTTCGTCTTGGGGATAGATGGATTCGATTTCTTCTTGAGTTCGCGGAAAATCAGTGGTTCTCTGGGGAAGGTTTTCAGGTAAGTTTTGAGTTTCTGGTTGGGTTGGTCTGAGATTTCCAAAATAATTAGCTAGAGTAGCAAGTACACTTGCTGCTTCTTCCTCTAGATTTGCTAGTTCATGGGTAAATTCAGAATTTATTACTTGGGTCTCTTCTGAGGTGGCGTCTTCGTCATCTTCACTAAGAGGTATAATAAATTGCTGGGGTTTAGTGGGTTGTGATGAAGTTCTACTGCTTTCAGCAAAAGTTTCTCCTTGTGAGTAGGTTACTTGTGGAAGGTTTCGGACGGGGGTTTGAGTAGTAGGAAAATAAGTTAGGGTTGAAGGTTCTTCGTACGGTTGCTGCAGTTGCTGAGGCTCACGGTGATGTAGTAATTGGAGTTGAGTTTCGGGAGTTTCCTCACTATAATTTTCTTCAGGAAAAATATGTGCAGGGTTATGCTCTTCTTCCTCGTTATAATTAAAAGCCTGGGGGGTTTCTTGAGTAGATTTAAATTCGAATGGGGTTGAGATTTCTAATGAGGGTAATTGTGATGATGTAGCTAATCTCAATTGAACTTCTTGTAATCGTCTCTGGACAAGTTCTTGAGTGACCTGAGCGTGAACTTGGTTTAATTTTTCCTCTAAAAGTCAGGTTAAGTTGAGGAAATGGCTATAAAACTCAAAATCTTTGGGATTAGGATCTCCTTCAGATGAAGCTACTTATAGGTAACGTTCGTACTGACTTCTATATAAGCGTAATTTAGCTTCAGCAAAAAGTTGGTCAGACTCAGAGTTTTCAGAGGTTGTATCTTCGTCTGAGGTAGGTTGGTTGTCTTCTGGGTTATTGTTATTATTATTATCACCAAAGTTAAAGAATCTAAACATAAGCTAGTAATATATCATTTTGCGAATTACTGCGCACAAAGAAAATATTATCGTGTGACAGAACGGCAAAATTAATATATTATAGGTTGGGTTTTATTCAGCTGGTTCTGAATAACAAAAGTTTACTTAGCTACAACTAAGCAAAAACAAAAGGGTTGGGTTTATTCAAGCAGAGGGTTAACAAAGGGTTGGGTTGAAAAAACATCCGCTGCTACCAAATGTAACGAATCTACTAATTCGTTTTAGAAAATAAATATCAACAAATATTTATTAGCGAAGTTTGTTGTTTATAATTAAATTATTTTTACAAGACTTGCTTGTTCTTTATTAATCATATGTTATATTTATATAAAAATACATAATTAATATTACATAATATAAATATATAATAAATAGTATTTTAGGTCTTACAAGACCAATCTGGATGGTTATATATGATAATAATATAATAAGTAAAATATTAATAAAAAGAAATAAAATAGAATAAGATAAATGATTAACACATAGGATGGCAAATATATTGTATATCAAATTAATCACATATGTTATCATTCGTTATCAAAATACAAAGATAAAAATATAAATAATAAAATAGAAAATAAAATAAAATAAGTATAATAAAATAGAAAATGAAATAAAGTAAATATAATTACGTAGAGGATGTGACAACGAAACTATTACACCAGCTGAATCATCCTCCCTAATTTTTACTAGTACTTTAGTCTTGCCATCACTATGTCTAATTATATAATCAAATGATATAACTTTGTGTTCTTGAATTGTTGTCGTTTTCAATCCTTGACTTTTTTCAATGAGTGTAGAAAGAGTTTCTGTATCTGCTGTACATGTAAAAGGAATATCTAACGTTCACTCATATCTTTTAAATTTATAGATATTCTTACCTTCTTCTGGCATTACAGTTCTTTGTATTGGAGTATTAATTCGTTTGCAATCTTCCATGTGTTGTGCATCAATCTTGGGATCGTGGGTTCAGTGACTTACACAATAGTCACAAACATATAACCTACTATTATGCTTAGTTGTATATCCAGCTAATTTTCCTAATCCATCTCTTCCTTGGATCAAGCAATAATGTTAGGCTAGTTCTCCTGTTTTTGGATCGTCACCAGTTATTAATAAAAGTCAAATTAATCTTCATAGTTGACAACCCCCTCTTCATGATTGCATCTATCATGTACTTTGAATTTAGGTGCAATTCTGATTGGGATAAGTTCTTTTTTGCTCCATTCAAAAATAAAGCAGTAGTAGTAACCACTAAAGAAAATATCCCGGGAATTGTAGATGAGCTT